GGCTTTAGGGTTTCGAGTTTAGGGTTGCGCATGGGTTTGCGAAGGCACTTTTGCCGCGTTTTGAACCCTGAGTGTTCCATCGTGGCTCAACTAGCCCTAACCCTAAGGTATTACTCTTCAAAACATAATCCTGAACTGCCTGCGCTACTGCTGATCGTCTAAGCCCAGCCACTTAAATATCTGATCTAAGCCTAGCTTCGGACGCATTGAGCGGCGTTTCTATTCAGCTGCGGGTTGTTGTTGAAGTTGGTTGCGTTTGTGGTTGTGGCTTGCCCCATGCGCATCTCCAAGAAGCACACGTTGTGATTGCAGAGGGCCGACCTAAATCCTAAACCCTCAAAGGGGTCTCTAAAGGGGCCCTTAAAAAATCGTACTGGGTTCCCTTAAGGGTACCTTTATTAAAGGGATCTCTACGGGCTCCTTTATATGCTCCCTAAACCCCGAAGCATCCCATACTGTCCTAAACGCTAAACCCCTAAACCCTAAACCCTGTGCTAGGCCGGACGAGGGATACGAGGAGCTTCCATCTTCTGCAGAAGCGGAAGGAACCTTTTGGCCGACGTTGCTGGGTCCTATAAACAAAGGCTTGGGTTTAGGGCTTAGGGNNAGGGGGGGCTTTTGGGTTTAGGGTTTAGGGTTTAGGGTTAGGGGGGCTTGGTTTCGGGGTTTGGGGTTTGGAGTTTAGGGTGTTCTTTAGGATGGTTGGTGATTTGGGGGTAGCACAAAAAGAAACGTACTCTAGGGCCCTAGGGGTCCATGTACCTCAACGGTTCTCTGAGGCTTAGAGGGTTTATAGGGGTCTATAAAGCTCTAAGGGAACTATGAGATTGTTCTATGCGAAGCGTAAGTCTATAAGGGAACTATAAGATTGTTCCATCCGAAGCCCAAGTTTCTCATTATGAAGACCCTTACGCGACCCTGTTCTATCCGAAGCTGAGGTTGCAGGGCCTGGAGGTTCAATTCGCCACGCCTTTGCCTCCGGCGTGGCTCTGCGAGCTGCGAGGACGCAAAGCGGAGTTTGGAGAAGTTTCCCTAACGGTCCTTGTAGAGCCCCTAGGCCCTAGAAGGATTTGAATTGACGGTTCAGAGTTTTACCGTATAAGGTCTCTATAAGGGCTTGATGGGAGACCGTAGAATTTCGTATTACAAGGATTTTAGGGTTTTACTTTGGTCCTTATGCTTCGGCTGCGGGTTTCTAGATTCATCTCATCTTGGTCTCATCCTCTCATCTCATCGACCTATAACATATAAAGAGAGTTCTAGTTCTTCCCACACTAAACTGAAATTGAAAAGTGTGGCGTTTTTTGCTCAGTTCCCTGCACACCCTGCGGTCCTGGGGACATGTAATGAGATGCACAGCCGGCTCAACATGACTTGCTTTTTCCTAGTTACTCTACTGTCTAACATTGACCGAGGGGCATGATGTTGTGCAGCAATAGAGCTTTTCATATCAGTTCTACATCCTTGAGCCCCCAACCCTTCTAATTAGCCCTGAAGCCCCAATACCGCCTAAACCTTAAGCCCTGTGACCTGTACACCTTGCTTTCCCCATCGCCGAACCAAAGGACTCCGCCGCCTGCATATTTCAGCCACCGACCGTGGTGCGATGATTGCTTTACCGCCCTGCCTGGGAAACCTGACGCGTCGTCTGAAATGTCCCAGGTGTAGCGTTGCACTTTGTAGGCATGCTATAGGGGTTCTAAACGTGGTTTTAGAGGCTTTAAAGGCACCTTAAACAACACCTATTGTAGCCCTTGTAGAACCCCTTGAAGAATCCTATCTAGTAACAAAGGCCTCTGCCGCAAATTAGGGGATCCAGGGGAGTAGGTTTCCAGGGTGATACGAACGGGTAACATAGGAATCGGAATCGTTTAGTACTCGTTAACCGTTATACCTCACAGGGTTTTTATTAGAATCATGGTGCGCTATCTCGAAGGCTCCGCAGTAGCGCATCTTAGAATTGTAGTAGACTGTCTCGACGGGTCCTTCTATCAACTATAGTAGACTACCTCAAAGGGCCCTTGTTAGAATTCTCCTAGACTAAAAGTCCCCTCGTATTTTGCGGCTGGAGAGCTTGAGCAGTACAACCTTGCCCTTGAGCTGTTGGAGGGCCTCACTGGCTTTCGGCCGTTGTGATGTGCGACTCCGAATTAAACTAGGATATGCAATGTTCTGCGGAAGTTTGGGATGATGCTTAACATCGGAGCCTTAATAATTACCAAAACTATTTTGGG